ATGTCTTTTATAATGGCGGTTGGTGTTTCTATAGGCGGATAATATTACTATAGTCCTGAATGATGTCATAGAGATTTCAGCTTGTTTTGACATATTTATATAATATTCATTTATATATTACCTGTGTTTTACAAAGGCGAATGATGTTACTAGGTGGCTTATGTTACTAAGGTTTTATAAGCAGATGACAAATTGTGTTACTGAAGCTGGTGTTTCTATAAATGGATAGTTCAATAGGATGATGAGCTCATTGTAAAGTGTCTCAACATGTGATTATGTCATCAACATTGTACAATGTATTTAATTATATGTCCTAAAAACGTATAAGTAAATCCATTATTTTAACGAGGCAACTATTATAGCATAGTGTCAGATTTAGCACATATATTATCTTAATTCATCCCTTATTTTAATGAGACAACTATTATAAAATAGCTATTAATTTGTATTACATACATTTACAGTTATCTGTTCTGAAAGAAGATTATCATACCTAATTTTTCGTTTTTATAACTATTGAACGAGACATTAAATATAGCCGATTGTGTTTTAACTATCAATTTAGTACACATTTAACATATTGGTTATAGTTTTTGCTTTTAGATATAATTTATTTATCATATTTTTTGCATTTTCTTTTGTTTTATAAGTAAATGCTTATTGCTAATTCATTTCTATAACTAATATATAACATCTATTTGCCCTGAAAAGGATGCTTATTTAAATCTCTATATAATATACAATAATTTCATGTTTAGCTTTATAAGTTTCTTTGTTCCGCTAAAGTTTAAAGGATCTACATAAATAATTATGTTTAACCATTATTATTCTTACTTTTCTGTAGATATTTTTGCAAATCTTCGTCTAGAGCTGGTTTCTTGCTGGTTTGGAACTTTATGCATGTAGGCTCAATAAGTAATATTCTTATTGTGACGGATTTACTATTATATATTAATTTTAATATCGATGTTTGTTTAAATTAATTTATACTTAGAAATGTACATAACTTATGCTGCTAAATCTGTATTGTGAAAC